AGTTTTATCCACCAGGCCAAACGGCTCGGCAGACAAACCACTGATTTACCTGCAACTGATAGATCCTTAAATGCTGTCCCAGAACGGACCCCCTGGAGAGAGGCGTATAAGTTTCCAATACACATCAAGACTGAAGTGAAAGGGGTATTTGACAAGGAAGAACAAAACAGTGTGCAGCGCAAAACAGCCACCCTCAGTCTACTTGATGATGAATACCCGCAGAACCTTTGGGTCCGTGTTTACACAGATGGGTCAGCAGAAAGCGCAGTCAGAAACGGAGGTGCAGGAGTGTACATTGAGTATCCTAATAATACCAGGGATACAGCCAAATAACCAACGGGAAATCACTGTCACAACTATGATGCAGAAGTTCAAGCCATCAAGATAGCGGTAGAGAAACTACTAATAAACAGGGTATTTTTCACAACCAGTGGTATTCCTGACAGATGCAAAAGCAGTACTTCAGTCACTCCAGTCTGGAAAATTACCAAGCATACAGACACTATTATTCGAACTAGGCAACCGCTGTAAATTAGTAATGCAGTGGATACCTTCCCACTGTGGAGTTCCCGGAAACGAAAAAGCTGATAAACTAGCTAAGGAAGGTGCAACTGAAGAACAACCTGACATACCAGTCTCTTATCAACAGAAGAAGAGAATGATCAAATCAATAAGAATGCCACCGAAACTGGCACAAGATGATTACCATATTATGGACAGACCAGAGCAAGTCATTACCCTTCGCCTTAGAACAGGGCACAATCGACTTCGCTTCCACATGTACAACAAATTTAAGATTGGCCAATCAGCCATGTGTACTTGTGGACTGGCACCCGAAACAACAGATCACATCCTTCAAGACTGTCCCAGATTCAACGCTTTCAGGCAAAACCTTTGGCCAAAAGAGACACTTGTGGAAGTCAAACTTTACGGGCCGCTTAGTGAATTAAAAAAGACAGTCAAATTCATACTAGAGACGGCTTTACAGATATAGACAATTTATTTCATGCGAACGAAAGAAGAAGAAGTTAACGTAACTAATGGATGGGCGACGAAAGGGCAATCATATCATCAGTTCTCGTTATGCATAGTGGCACAGAAGGCTTTAGAGATGACTTTTCATGCTTTCCTGTCCTGTGCAATCTTCAATGCAGTTTTCCATGTCAAAGATGCCACACTCAGATCACTTTCCATCGTTCGTCTCCATGTTGTTTTTGGGCGCCCCTTTTTTCTCAATTACTTGGGCGGTTTTGGTCGTTTCAAACATGGTTCTTACATCCTAGAAACCAATTCTTATTTTGGTTTTAACATCCAGCAGACTTGTTTTCCCGTCATGGGCTTCCTTTCGGCTTTCACACATGTTGTTCATGCTGACAGAGGGACTCTAAGACCGCCAGACGTTTAGAGCACTTATTTCCTCTTAAAGTTTCAGTGACGTTGTAGTTTTTTTTTTTACAGGGCAGAGCTGTCAACACTGTGCCCAACCCCTGAGCCTGGAGGACCGGAAGGCCATCTTTAGTCTGGCCCCTCGAAAGGGCAAGGAAGGTATATAATGTGAGAGAGTTCAAGAAACGCATTGTGTGGTGCTGTTAGGGCTAAATAAGTTAAGTCCTGAGCGGGCAAAGGTAACAGAGCAATTAGCATACTTACAATTCAAGTGGGGAGCCGCTGGGGTGTAGCGGCTAGGAGCTCGCCTTCGGAACTCAAGATCAGGGATTTACTTCCTGAGTCAGATTTTTTTTTAAATACCTGGCTATCATGTCGACCCAGCCTCAACTGAGTACCACGTAAGGTCCTGGGAAGCAAAGGCGGCTGGTATGATGTTGACCAACCACCTACCGAGTGCCGATTTGGTCTACAAATTATAGGTCTAGCCCTATATGTTCAATACAACCAAAGGCGTGGAAACAATGTACTTTACTTTACTTACAAGTCAAGTGGACAGCAAAACAAAATGGCCGCACACACACGAAAAATACAGTATCACAGAAATAACAACTTCACGATGAACAACAAGGATGTGAGGACATGAGATACATTCCTGGAAAAACTTCTGTGCGCTGTCCCCAGAAGTCTAATGATGTCATTCACAAGTGGACATATCCTATTCTGAATATGCCACAATTTAATCATGTTATGATTCACTTGCTAATTCTGTCCCCTTGTTCCTGTTACCGCCGTTTGCTAAATAGGTCAGTATATGTGACAATGACCTATATTCATAGTCTAATTGTGTGTGACTGTCCAGGAAACTGAATTATTACCGGCTACAGTGGTGAGTGGAGCCATGGCACAAAGGCGTCGTATTTTCACTCTGGGCACTTTAACACCTAGAGGACTGAACTGCCAACACAGTTTCATCTAAAATCCTATGGGATGGAACTGCCCACACAGTTTTATCTAAAACCCTCCAGGTACGGCCCGGGGTATTTATTCCCCGATCCCAAGTATCTCGCCAGTCTACTGACAAGACATCGACCTGGCTGTTTGGAGATATTAGGCTAAGTGATTTTATATAATTGTGCGGTATTGTTTTATTTATGTATGTGCTGATGAAGGCTCCATAGCGGCAACGTTCACGTTGTATTTGTGTTCGTTATATTGTGAAACTTGCTGATATACTTTTTGTTCGGTATTTTTTTTTTCGTAATCAGGAGGCTCATGGAAATTGAGTCCCCGTCCCAAGGAAAATGTTAATGGAGACGCAGCAACACCCCCCCCCCCCACACACACACACACACACCTTTTTTACCCCCCTCCCCCTCTCCCAGCTGAAACACTGTAAAGGCCTTCATAATCAGACCACCAACACAAATAAGACGTTTGGGGTGCTTAGTACATTTATACAATGAAATAGGTAGGGAGACTGTTTGAAAAAGCATTTTGTGCATTCTTAATAATAATAATGACAATACTAACAAACATAAAAATGTGGCTAATAGCACACACAAAATAACAAAAATATACCCAAAACATGATCTTTTTCCTTTACAAAAATAGGTGATGGTACTTACCACAAAGTGTCGAAATAGATGCCGGCAATCACGACAAAGTGTCTGTTACAGTAGCACTGAAAGAATGATGACTGATAAGGAGAGGAGCCGGTACTGTGTTAATGACCCCACCGGTCAATGTGTGCCGACTGATGTCTACACACATGAGTCTAGCATCATTTGCCCAGTGCGCCACTGTCATATAATGGGTGCTTGATTTTCCTTTTTATTCACCCACAACAGTAAAATAAACTAGAAAAGGGTATCAGGAAATATCATAGAAAGTAAAAGCGGTCGTGCAGACGTTGAACCAACCCGGTGGCGTATTTAAGCGTTTGCAGCTACACAAAATGATTGCGGCCGCAAGATACTGATAGTTGTAAAAGGAAAAGTTAAAACTGAGAGCATAGACTTCATTGCACCGGGTTTTATCCCATGTACCTCAGTCTCTATCCGCGGAACGGCTAGCCGCTTTCCGAAAGCACCGCACAAGGCACGAACCCAGTAGATTTTTTTTTTCTGTATGCTTACCATAAATTCTTTACCTTCATAATAATTTACGAAGTTATAACTTCCTTATTTGTTTCTTGTGTTGTGTATTGTTTTTAGTTAAGTTTTAAATATTTCAAAACAGTTTCATTTTGGAGTAAATAATTATACAGCTTGCTGTTGGTGATCTGAAAACCAGTAGAGATGCTGAAGTTTAGCCAAGGGTCGCGAGGCTCATTAAATGATTCCATGATGTTTTCCAGAATGTTCAATTCTCTTCTTTGTTCGAACATAGAAAACAGGAAAACTACAAATAATTATCTTCTTCTTCTGCGGAAAGTCATGTTGTTCGCCCTTTTGGACTTCAGCTTTGTGCCAAGGCGTGAGTTCTGCGTGTAAATCAGTCTTACTGGCTTATTTGTGTGCAGTTGATTGTTGCAGATTCACTCCGACTTCCTCCAGGCTTGGGGGTTGGGCGCAGTGTTGACAGCTCTGCCCTGTGAAAAATCTACAAGGTTAATGAAACTTCAAGAGAATAAGTGCTCTAAACGCCCGGTGGTCTTAGGACAGAGTCACTCTGTCAGCAAGAACAACATGGGTGAAAGCCGAATGGAAGCACATGATGGGAAAACAAGTCTGCTGGATGTCAAAACCAAATTAAGAACTGGCTTCTGGAATGTAAGAACCATGTTTGAAAAACAACATGGACACGAACGATGGAAAGTGACCTGAGTGCTGCATCTTTGACATGGAAAACGGCACTGAAGATTGCACAGGACAGGAAAGGATGGAAAGTCCTTTCTGAAGCCTCATGTGCCACTAGGCATAACGAGAACTGATCACTCAGATTTCGAAGAAAGACCCCAATTAGTCAACTCCTACGACATGCTTGTTTGGGAGGCAGTGGGTTTATTATTGTTTTCCGCAAAAACAGGACCCCGGTACCCAAACAGGGGAGAATCCTCTCAAGTATACTCTATTAGGTAATTGAGCTAAGTTTCAACAAAAGTCTTTATCTCAATGGGAATAAGCGCAGTTTGAAAAGACCCGCTCGCTAGCGTAGTTGGTTAAACCTGACTTCGGGGTGACCGGGTGACGAACTCCTTGCGGTCCGGGTTCACGCCCAGGGGTAGGCAGAAAAGCCACATTTCTCCGAGATTTATGGTACCTATCATGGAATCAAGGCCGAAGGGTTGCGATATCCATAGTACCGAGCCAAAGGGTTAACAACTCATGTTTCTGGATACTTAAAAAAAAAAAGCGCCGTTGAACCAGCGAAGCAAATTATGTTTGTAGAGTAATCAAACTTTCATGTTCAGACGGAATCGCCTGAACTTGTGAACCGGTGGTTGTCTACGTTTGGCCAGAGTAAGGACGTCATTTTTTTTTTTTTTTCAAGTTGAAAGTAATGGCATTTTATTCACATATAGTTTTTTTGTATGCAGATAAAGTGTCAAAAGCTAAATGACAAGTGTATATGTGTGGTGTGCACATACGTATATATCTTCTTTTGACTGTCTATTCATAGTGTTTATTTATCTGCACAGGCCCGTACAATTCCTCTAAAATGTTAAGAATATCTATCCGGTATTGGTCTACAACATCTTTAGGACAGTATCCATCATCGCTTGACCTGGCAATAGTTACAATAGTTGGTTTAGGAAGATGTTCTAACAGATTCTTGAAAGAAGTCTGAAGAGCCCGAACTTGTTCTAATGTGCTGATATGATGGGGAAGTTCAGTATCATCCAGTGTGCACCCAAAGTAGTGAAGCATTATAAATGTTACATTCTTTTCTTCTCTGTGTTCAAGACAACTTCTACACAAGAGGTTAAGGTCAGCCTGCTGATGAGAATCCAGAAATAAGAATTCCTCCAGATTTTGTCCTGTAAAATCAGCAAGTGAAGAGCATGACTGTGGCTTCCACTCTGTAACAGATAGCTTTAGTCCAAACCACTTAGTTTCCAGGTGAGAAACAAAACAACATTCTCCAGCTGGTTTATCTGTGTCTCCCTTCTCTTAGTCTTCTTCTTCTTCTTCACTTCCTCTTTTACCGCTTTGGGTGTCGAGGGAGATATAATGTTCTGTTTCTGGCTCTTCTGGCCGCCTCGACCATAGTCACCTCTTTTGACTGATCTTTTCAGTTGTCACGATATTTTCCAATGCCTCTCTTCTAATTTCAGTGTTTGTTTCCTTTTTATTGGTTTATATAGACATCTACTTTCATTAGCAAACAGGAAAGAAGTTAAATAAACAGAAAATTCCAGCATGTGATGAACCAGAAACTTCTTCTTCTTCTTCACTTCCTCTTTTACCGCTGTGGGTGTCGAGGGAGATATAAGGTTCTGTTTCTAGCTCTTCTGGCTGCCTCGACCATAGGCACATCGTGCTGTTGTAGAGTTTCTCTGATGTTATCCTTCCATCTTGTTCTTGGTCTACCCCGTGCTCTACGTCCTTCTTCTCTTTCCATTTATGCTTTGTATGGTATGGTGTCACAAGGCATTCTCTCTAAGTGGGCAAACCGTTTGACTTGCTGTCTTTGTATGTAATTTAGAATTGGTTCTGTGCCGACTTTTTCTCTTATGATCTCATTTCTAAACTTATCTCTTATGGTCACTCCTACAGCCCTTCTCAGACATCTTATTTCCATGGTTACTAACTTTCTTTTATGGTTTGTTGTGAGTGACCATGTCTGGCACTGGTAGCACTTCACTGGCACTGGTAGTCTCTTAGTGAAGGCCACAATATTCTCATCAGAGAAATTTGTGACTGTAGAATAGTGATAGAGTCTCCTCAAAGCCTCCTTCTCATCATGTCTCAACATATTTTTGAAAGGATTTGAGGTTCAAAAGAAGTCCAGATCAACATCCAAGACATAAGGTTTGTTGCTGACAATGTCTTGCAATTCTGCAATACCGCTTTGCTTTTTGGTCACAGTCTTCACAGATTCTTCACTGCTTTCTGGATTGTTTTCAGCTGCACAAATATCAGTTGAGTTGTTTCGTGGGTTGAGGTTGGCTCACTTGTCAGGCAAGAGCTCTATAACTGTCAGTTTGACACTGCCTGCATCAGCAAGTCTTGAGCTGGACAAAACAAGCCTTCTGTTTAAAAGTTGTTCTCTTTACTGGATAACCTTAACTTTCCAGTAGCTGTGCATTTACCGATAGAAAATGTATGTTCTGGTGTCTTGATCTGCTGACGCCATGGTGGCTTCACACAAACAATTTGGTTCAAATGTTTAGCGTAAGTTAATGGCAACAACCAGTTTTCAATACTAATAGACTCATAAAGTAGCTGCGGCTTAAAGACAACATCCGCCTGCAAGTTGATGGGTATCAGCAAGTCAGGGTGTGAGTCAAAGTGTACCACAGGAATGCCTGAATATGGAAGTAATCGTGACGCAATTGCCCAGTGTAAAAACGGAACAGCATCATTATGTGGCTCCACTATATGCACTGGGAGATTTTTTCTGGCTTTCATTTTGGACATCGCTTAGAGCTGTGGGCACAGCACAGTTCAAATATATACCATGACATTGTTGTCCTGCAGAAAACACTAAGGGAGTCATTGAAGATTTTCTAGCAGGTCAGCAGCTTAGAGGTGCCCCGAACTTATGCTGCACACACTTTTAAAGCACGGCAGATAAGGCCAAATAGGCCAACGGAAATTCCCGTTTTTGTCAAGTCCAAAAAAAAAAGGGGGCGGGGGGTGGGCTTATTTTTATCAAGTAGATCTGTACACAATTAAAACTACAGTGTAAATAATTTGCAACACATTTTAATGAATGATGGAGCATTTTGAAGACAAATAAGTGTGATTAAAAAAAAAAAAAAAACTATTATGGTTACTACAGACAAGATGAATGCATTTGCTTGAGTCACCATGCGCACACACGTACCTAAAGCTGGTCGTGATTTGAAATGGGGCCTGAGTAAAACCTGAAAGCCAGATGGCAGCTGCACTGATACAGTAGTATGACACTAAAGTACCCAATCTTCCAAGAGAGCCGCCATGGTCTAGGACTAGACGCTCGACAGTGGAACGAAAGGTCGTGGGTTCGGGTCCTGGCGAAAGCGGGCTTTTTTCAAAAATTAGATTGGCGGTCAGGTAGACCCAGCCTTTAGAGGCTGCCAGGTACAGTCCTGGAAAGTAAAGGCGCCCGGCGTGATGCTGGCCACATCACCCACCTAGTGCTGATTGGTAAATAAATATAGGTCTAGCTTTATATGCCCAACACGCCTGAAGATTAGGAAAAGGGTCCATTCATTAATTGATTCAATAATTGTTGTATCACATATTTAAGGAGTTTCTTCTTCTTGTTCGTGTTCACCAGCTGTAAACTCTGGCATAAAGTTATGGTTGTTCATCCATTTGTGGACTGCAGTCCTGTTCTATAACTTGAGTGCTGCGTGTCCACCCGTTTAACAGATTTGACTCATTTGTGTGTAGACTGCTGGTTCCTTGCCTCTCAGGCAGATGTATCCGACTTTGAGATAAGCTCCCAATTAGTCGAATCTTACGTCATGCTTTTGGGTAGGCAGTGGGTCTATTCTTGTTTTCCTTATAATAGGGCCCGGGAACCCACAGGAGAAAACTCTTGTCAGTAACCATCAGTGTGTGTCTTTTGATGATTCATTTAGATAAACGTGTAAACAACAAGTGAGCATCTTTGGTTTTGATGATTCATTTGGATAAGCATTTCCTAGTTCTTAAAACGATGATATCATCGTATTACTAGCGTTGTTCTTGCCCTTGTTGGTACTAGTGTTTTTAATAGCGTTTTTATGGTTAGTTATATATCAATTACAAATGAATCTTCCTTCCCATGCTAGTAATATGATGCCAGTTTGGTAGGGAAAAAGAATAGAATCACTGTCCAAACCTCCAAAAAGCGTGACGTAAAAGTCGACTAATTAGTGGTGTTTCCTTAGAAGTCGGAGCGCATCTATATGAGAAGTAAGAAACTGACAGTCTGTATACACATAAGACAGATTTGTGAAAAGGATTGTAATCGGGCTACGACAAATTTAACTTGATTTTAGTTTAAAAGACGGATACCTTGATTCGGTTTGGGTTCACTTGTGAAAAATACCTGGCCATTGTGCATAAAAAGGCTTCCAGACTGAACCCACAGGCGCTCTTGTTCGAGCGACTGTGGGAATTGCCGATTGCCTGGTCGATTGTGATGGTGATAAGTTCCATAGTTAGCTCTGAATTTGTCTCTAGTTGTTAAACTAGGTGGGTAAATATATCAGTGTGCATCATCGCTTGGATATATTTGATTTTGTGTCGCCAGAAGCGAACTTTCATTTATGTTAGTTGGATGCGTAGCGTTGTCAAGAGGTTTAATGTGTCAAGTCTAGTCGGTTCAGATTATCATGTTGTTGCATATTTTAGTTTAGTTTTAACGAACTTTCTTTTTATTTATTTTTCTTGCGTACTTTGGAGCCTTTCGCTTTTAGTACAAAATATTTTCTTCGGGCATCTCTCTATCTTTAGAGCTGACCCTGCCCCCAGCACGATTTTCCCTAAACCTCCTCAAGTGGCCCACAGGCATGACTGCAACCTCAAGGACATTATAATCAAGAGTCGGTTACGTCCCGCGCCCGAGTCCCACTTCTGAACTGTCTCCTGCCACAGTCCTGTATGCACGACCTGTCCATATGTGGTTCAGAGTACCAGCCGGGAATTCCCGAATGCCGCCTTCTACATACTTGAAGCATTCTATTGCACGAGCCATAATGTCATTTAAGCATCAATTGCAAGAGATGTTGCATGAAATACATTAGAAAAACAGGTTTACGGCTGGCTGACAGGTTCAGACAACACCTTTTGTATATGCAGAATGGTGCCCTGAAACCACTACCGTTGCACTTTAATTCCCAGGATCATTAAGATGTCCACGACATCAAATCCAACCACTCCAGTGACAGAGTCCGCAAGTCTTTTGAAAATAGTTTTATTTACATTTCATAACTTTGACACCCAAAGGATTGAACTACCAACATAGTTTCATTTAAACTCCTAGGGGATTGGACTGCCCACGCAGTTTTATCTCCAATTCCCCTGGCCCACGTGTGTGTGTGTGTGTGATTTTTTATTTGTTACTTTGTGAAGCCTGCTAATATATTTTTAGTTCCGTTTTATATCACTACTAGTACAGGATGTACACGCAAAATACAAGCACTGGAACAAGTGGTCAAACAACCAGAACTTGCGGCCGATGAGCCTCTGCTGCCTTTGCGCCTTCTTCTTCTTCTTCTTTTTCTTCTTCTTCTTCTTCTTCTTCTTCTTCTTCTTCTTCTTCTTCTTCTTCTTCTTCTTCTTCTTCTTCTTCTTCTTCTTCTTCTTCTTCTTCTTCTTCTTCTTCTTCTTCTTCTTCTTCTTCTTCTTCTTCTTCTTCTTCTTCTTCTTCTTCTTCTTCTTCTTCTTCTTCTTCTTCTTCTTCTTCTTCTTCTTCTTCTTCTTCTTCTCGTCTTTCTCAAAACACACTCTAGCAGACTTTTGATTGTTCATATTAACATTATTCAGTCATACAGAGGATGATATAACATATGTACATTGTCCAGTTACATTGGTAATCTTGCGAGTGTTCCCCTCTAACACCACTACTCATAACTAAAACCAAATTAATCTGACTGGCCAATCTTTCTAAAACCTTTATATTTGACATTTTCTTTGAAATACGATCTACAAATTCAATGTCCAGCATATACCCTGTAAACAAGCGCCGATATATCAGATTTACCGACCTCTCTTTACCGCTGTATTTGATTGTCGCATCCCCCGTTTGGGTTTCGGGGCCCTATTGTGGGGAAAACAAGAATAGACCCACTGCCTCCCCAAAAGCATGTCGTAAAAGTCGACTAATTGGGGAGCTTCCTTTGAAGTCGGAGTGCATCTGCCGGAGAGGCAGGGAACCAACAGTCTGTATTCAAGAGAATGAGATCTGTAAAACTGATGCACACGCAACACTCAGGTTCCCGGAGCAGGCCTGCACTTCAGTAGTGGACGAGCAACCAGAACTTTCCGCCAGAGTGTACAGCTGGTGAACGCGAAGAAGAAGAAGAAAAAAGATTGTCGCCATTTCCCTAACATATTACATACACTTCTTTTTGTTCCCGAGGCTATAGTCTGCTTTTAAAAACAAAAAAATTGCATTTCCATAAAAAGCCTATGGATTTGATTTCTAAACTTCGAAAAGGTTGCCGAATTTAAAAAAAAAAAAAATTTCCTAGTGCCATGAAGACAATGAACCTTTTTTTTTTTCGCCAGCTGTAATCTCAGGCGAATGGTCCTGGTGGCTCGTCTTTGGCTTTGTGCCAGGACCTGAGTTTTGCGTGTGCATTCGTTTTACTGGCTTTTGTGTGCGCAGTTGCACTCCGAGTTCGAAGGAAAGTCCCCAGTTAGTCGACTTCTACATGCATTTTAAGGTCTATTCTTGTTTTTCCGATACTGAAAACCTGAAAGCCACACGGGTCAGGGGAGTTAACAAACACACTGAAAAGGCACAATATTTTTAATTATTAATTAAATAACCGTTAAAAGGTTAAAACATCCACACACACACACACACACACACACACACACACACACACACACATACATATTACCCTATATTTTAACAGAAATGAAATTGTGTGTTGACTACACTGTTACTGTACCAGTTACTTTTTTCGCTAAGTTTGTTGCACAGTTGCTGTGGCAACTTCTATTTGGTGCAAATAATGTCATGGGGCAATATCTTTGATCTCATCAATGCATTGATTATTAAAGTCTTCAAATACTAATGATTTTTTTATTTTATTTATCCTAATATTGTCAAGGAAAGAAAAAATCTAAAAGTATTGAAACATCGAGCATCGAACCAAAAGCAGAGGTTTGCTCGGCATGGGGGAAAAAATAGTACCTAATTTATTCAAAAGTACCAACTTCGGCAGCCCTGATCGGGAAAACGGCCACAGCAAGCCAGTAAAAATCTTAGGTAGAACACCAAGGCTGAACAAACCTGGCCGTGACTTTGTTTAGCATGAACAGGGCTGGGCAGCTCGGCACTCTTTGACCTTCTGCTGGCGGTAATCAACAAGTTTTCATGGCTGTTAAAACCTCGGCGAGTTGATGAATAGACAGACAGACAACCTGTGAAGGTACTTGTTTGTGTTGTCTCGCCCACTCGCCTAGAATCTAACAGTTGGTTCCTTATTCCGGGCTGCGGTAATATAGCTTTATAAAATAAGATTTGAGGAAATGCTACTGCGAAGGAGACACTGAGAGCATTGTAATGACGTAGCCAGAACAGTATACAAACGGAAAGGTATTTGCAAACAAAACAAACGGTGGAAACTTTAACGTACTCTGATGTATGCCGTAAAACAATGATAACATAGATTGGTGCAAGAAAAGTGTTACCCAAACAAAGCAATAATAACAAATACTAAGGACGGGGTGGGGGGGGGGGGGCGGGGTATATAAAGTAGGTGTCAACTCTA